TCGTGTAGTGCCCTCCCGGGGCCGTCGCACAGGTATACCATCCGTCCGACAACATTGCCGTAATTGGTGTTCACAGTAATAAACTCATCCAAACCTATGGTAAGGACACCGATATAGGGTTAATGCGGGGAAAGGGGCGGAAGGGGGCGAAGGGATGGCAAACCTTGACGTATAGCCTCTTTGCAGCGCAAATCTCCCGCGTCTTCAATGAGTCGCCGACGGCTCGGGTCGGGAGTGACGCCAGACCTATAGCCGTCATAGGGCTTGCGATCGGACTCAAGAGGTCGGTTCCGGGGGTCGTATTCGTGGTAATGACCCCATTGTTCGTAAAACACTCGTTGAGGGGGAGGGGTATTGAACTGACCCTTACACTCATTTAACACAATTATAATCAACACTGAAATCAATTCATGGCATAACATAACTCTCGGTTTTGTTTGTCAACTATTTATACATTCAATAAAACAAATTTAAATATAAAAACAAGCGATAAATAAAAATAATCTCAAAACTGTTTGAACAAAAACTTTGTGACCTCTGGTCGGGGCTCTCCTCTCAAACACTTCATTCAACTCATGCCTCAAAACTTGTTGAATAATGTTTTGTCGGAAATAAAAGATTATCAAAAATTATGATAATTTACAAAACAAAACGTATTTCTCAATGAAGTAATGCTTTCATTGAGTCATTGGAGAGAAATTTAAAAATAAATAAAAAAAAGTCTCTCATAATTAAAACTGCTTTTCAGTTACAAGACATACATTGCACTCAATTTCCTCTCATTATAATCACTGCAAACACTGTTTACCTGTTTTCCAACTCCTATCGCAACCACTTTAATAACACCCCTTATCTCTCATATAATACTTATGTATATCTCGTAAAGCATTACCCAATAAGTGACCCCTTTTTGCAATGAAAGCGTTGATTCAAATGTATCATTGGATGGCATTTGGGGTCCCTTTTAGTGGACAAGAGTTTGTGAACAAAACTTTGAAAAGCAGAGCAAACAGTGGGTCGTTGTGTCTGTGAATGGCATACCTGTCCGTTAGGCAGCGCTCGACACAGCACTGGAGCACTGGGTGTGGGAATAATCAATGCATGAATGAAAATGTAGTATACATTCACTCAATACTTACGTAATGAAAGGGAGGGGAGAGAGGGATACGGGTTGACGGGTATATGCTATCAGATATGATGGAAAGGGGGGCCAAACACTCGAACCCCTAATGCATTGGTTGATGGCTTTGATGAATGTGTTGTAAATATATTCGTACAGTAGTTGTGAATCATTGAAGCGTTGAAAAGAGGTATCGATTAGTTTTGGCTCTTCTTCTAAAAGCCATTCAATTATAACTCAATTTAAATATTAATTAATTTGAGTTTGAATTACATTTGAAACGCTATTTGAGTGGAAAAGTCACTCAAACGAGACGCCAATGAGTTATTAAATGCAGACATTTGTGGCATTGAATGAAAACAATAGTTAATTAGTGTTTGGCTGTACTGTATGTGCGTATATAAAAATGCCCATGCACCATCACCTTGCACCATCGTGCTTTAGATTGAATTAATATTTTACTTAAATAAGTGCTTAATTTGCTTGTCTTGCAAACCATTTTACATGTCTTACGAGTGAATAATTTGTAAAATTGATAATTATTTCAATACATTTGTAAATATTCTGCATATTCTTAGCGCTTATAACGGGTTTGTATTTTCCGTTATGTTTAATGCTTTGTTATAATTGTATGAATTTTATTATAATATATTAAGTAAACACTAAAATGAATTGAATTCTTGGAAATAATTATGAAATATTTCTTAATAAACGTATAAATATATAAACAAATCATATGTTTTGTCATTAATTGTTACAATTCTGGCTAAAATATATTTTTGGTATTATTTCTGAGAAACCATTTATGAAATAACTTTTTTAATATTATTAATGTATTACAGAATTTGGAAAAGTCACTCAAACGAGACGCCAATGAGTTATTAAATGCAGACATTTGTGGCATTGAATGAAAACAATAGTTAATTAGTGTTTGGCTGTACTGTATGTGCGTATATAAAAATGCCCATGCACCCTTCACCATCACCTTGCACCATCGTGCTTTAGATTGAATTAATATATTACTTAAATAAGTGCTTAATTTGCTTGTCTTGCAAACCATTTTATATGTCTTACGAGTGAATAATTTGTAAAATTGATAATTATTTCAATACATTTGTAAATATTCTGCATATTCTTAGCGCTTATAACGGGTTTGTATTTTCCGTTATGTTTAATGTTTTGTTATAATTGTATGAATTTTATTATAATATATTAAGTAAACACTAAAATGAATTGAATTCTTGGAAATAATTATGAAATATTTCTTAATAAACGTATTAATATATAAACAAATCATATGTTTTGTCATTAATTGTTACAATTCTGGCTAAAATATATTTTTGGTATTATTTCTGAGAAACCATTTATGAAATAACTTTTTTAATATTATTAATGTATTACAGAATTAATATATAAACAAATCATATGTTTTGTCATTAATTGTTACAATTCTGGCTAAAATATATTTTTGGTATTATTTCTGAGAAACCATTTATGAAATAACTTTTTTAATATTATTAATGTATTACAGAATTGGCAGCAATTATACTATATTTGGAGGTTTGGCACACATTCTCGCATACATTTCTATGGCATTAAAGTGTATGAAACAAATGCTTCTCAATTATCGCAAACATATCACCAGTGAATCCAATGGCCAATCAGTCAAATAACAAGAAACAATCCAATGAAGTGAAGAGAAGTAACTCAAAAACAACTCATTTAACAAATCCAGTAAAACCACAGCTAAGATCAAAAACAGTACAAAAATCATACAAAAAGTGTGATTTAAATAATCAAAAACATCCGACAATTGCTTTCATTGAGAAATCTCACAATGAGTTCAAAAGATTAAAGACTAAAACAGCGAAAGGATTGTTGTCTCAAATCTCGGATCTGTTTGAAAGCGAGAGTTTCGCTGATATATCTATAATTAGAGGCAAATATCGGAAACGAGTTCATAGTTGTCTTCTTTACGCACGAATCCCATCGCTATTCACACAAATCTTAAGCTTAAATCTGAATAAAAATGCATTTAATCCGAAAACACATGAATATTGTGTTCGCATTCCTCCAGAAATAAAAGAATTAGAATTAAAGGAATTGATTCATAAAATATATTCAGACGATTCCGCAAACGATATGGAAAAAGACGAAAACGATTTGATGTCTAAAATAGAAATTTTAAACAAAACATTTAACGAACCAATCGGTGATTCTTTGTGTGATTTTACGGAATCCGTTGAAAATAATTCCCAAATGAATTTAAGCGCAAATTCTGTATCAGATAATCGTTCAGAGGATGAACGCGACGAATACGACAATTATGGCAATTCTGGTGATAATGACGGCCATAATGAGGGACAAGAGTCTGGAGCCGCGAGGAAAAGTCATATGGTTAGAAGCGGTACTTTTGAACTCTTGACATCAATCCATTCCTCCGAAGATAATAATGATCTCAGAAATAATGATAATAACTGTAAAACCAATGATGAAATTGAATTATTGGATTCAATTGAACAAAATATTCAAAATATCGATTTAAACGAAACCATTGATCATAAAAACAACAGAAAAAAGTCAAATGATTTGACTCCAAATACGTCCACGAATTCAATGTTTTCACTATTCATTGATATTAACGAACCGACGGTTGATATTCGGGAACCAGAAAGACCTCAAACCACTAAAGATGACCAAAAGAGAGGCTTTGATTTCATTCCATTGAAAAGCAAACCAAATAATAAGTTAACAAATCAAAGATCATGTGAGGGCTCCAGAGGCGAGA